ATTCACATTTAAAGTTAAGTTTAATTCTAGTGGGAACTGATATTTAATAAGATACTTTCCCGATTATTTTGGCGGTTGAACATACAATAAAAATGAAATGAATTCCGTATTTGTTTTCATTCACAACTGAGAGTCGCCGCCTCGAGTAAGATTCTTGTGTGATATCTACAGGCCATATCTGGTCCCATTTCACTTTGATTACCCTGTCAAACAAGTCAGCCTTCGCCCCTGGACAGACAGACAGACAGACCTACGAACAGAGGGTTCGGGGCGGCCAAGAAGAAGAAAAAGAGGACGGCCAACTAAAGCACAAGGGAGACAGGCAAAACAATCACGAAGTGTTGTCAATCGTGAAAGAAGAGCAAGACGGATACGAAAAGACAGAGTTCAAAAATGGAAAAGAAATCTGAGATTCTGAGGTGGCCTTTTAGACAGGATGCAAATCAGAGTCGAGATTATTGTTGTGGACAAATGACGTCAGAGGTTTAAACAAGGAAAGGCCACTCTAAACTTCCATCATCTTGTCTAAAATGTTTTGAACGGATTGTCTCCCATCATCGTCTGCTCCAGTTGCTTGTGCAGCGCACGTCACAAAGGACAAGGTTCCTATTACATGCATTTTGAGCGGAGGAAATGATTTCTCTTACAGCTCTGCGAATACTCGTCATTATTCCGAAAGCGTGGAATCGACTACAGAAAAACAATATTGGAACAAAAATGGTTCACACTCTTAAAAAAAGAAGAAAAAAATGTTCTCCTAAATTGACGTACTTTTAAACAACAGATGTAGCCACCGGCGCTGATAAAATTGTTTTGATTTGTTTCTCAAATAAAAGTTCTTATAGAACACTTTTTGCTACTATTCTTACAAAAATAGGCTACGTTACTCCCTTGTAAAAATATAAAATACACTGAAATAAACATGTAGTTAAAGGCATTTTTAAGTGGTCTTTTTTCGAACTCAATTGAAGTGTGAACCATTTTGGAATATAAAATTAGTTGAAATGCTCAACATTAAATCTCATTGTCAATTTAAACTGAAATGGAGGGGAAAGGAGCACCAGCTTCCGTTGCCCTAACCCCTGCGTACTTTTCAACATAATGTTCATTTCCGGGGGGGTTTTCGGTTAAGTTTTACCTTGAATCTGTGGGTTTTAGAGATAGGCTGTGTGGCAAATCGTCAAGATTCTAACTAAAGTCATTTCACATCTGCAATGTTTGAACATGTGCTATCGAATTTTACAAGTGTTTTATTTTTCTTCGAGAAAAATTATTTTATTTTATCAAAAAGAATTATACTGTAAGCATATGCAAACATTGAAACGGGGAATACAGTCTTCTGATTATATTCACCATTTTTCAAAAAATTTCCCCTCAAGTTTGACGAGTTTATTAACACAGTATTATGTTCCGGAAATGTAGAGTTACTGTTTTTGTAGATACACTCAGAGAGTATTTAATTATATTTTATGGTCTCTGATACACTTCAACGATTTATAAGAAAAGGAGAAGGTGACGCTTCACAATAATTTCAGCGACATTCCTCATTTTCTCACATTAGTATACTTTTTTTGGTGCAAAATTTGCGGGTATCGATATGACGTTTCTGCTAGTGTGTGCTGCCATAAGAACATATCAGAGCAAGGACAAACATTCTGTAAGAAGAAGCCGTGCCAGAACGAGAAAACCAATGGGAATTTTCTGCCTGGTTGGAGTTCCTTAACTGGGGTAGGCTACAGTTTTTGCTTAAAGGGCATATATGCAAAACAAAATCTCTCTTTCTCTCTCTCTCTCTCTCTCTCTCTCTCTCTCTCTCTATCTCTCTCTCCCTCTCTCTTTCTCTGTCTCTCTCTGTCTCTCTCTCACTCTCTCAGCTCTCCTCTCCCCCCCC